AAAGTCAGTATCTCTGGTGGGTGAGGCTTGCACATTCCTGGGGACGGGGAGCTTACCATCTTCTGTGCCTAGGACAGGAGCCATGGGGTCTGGAGGAGACTCTTCAGCCCAGCCCCTGCAGCCTTTTCTAGGGTGGCATGGTTTCCCCAGACTGACTCCCCTCAGGTCGCTTTTCAGCATGTAGGGGTTGGGGGGCTGACCAGAATAAAACGTGACACGCTCACCACGTAAGGAAGGTTCTTGGTTCTGTACCTCAGGCGTTTGTTGACACAGCCTTTAATGAGATACCTTTCCTCCGGACTCTCCTCTCTGGGGCCTGCAGCTGCTGCTAGGCTTCATCTGTGCTCCGTCACAGACAGTGTTTGGTCCCTCACCTTGCCCCAGGATGCGGTTTTCCTGTTGGGACCCTACTGGGATCACCTGTTGGGTGGGGCCATCCTCTGCCCGCTCAGACATTCTTCCTACCCTCGAGCTGCTGCTGACACTGCCATGTCTTATGCCTTCCCAGGCGAGGAGGAAGTGGCTAAGCAGGCTTAGGCTAGGGACAGAGCCCTGTGTCTCTCCACTCTAGACCCCTGCCAGCTGACTGGCCTGCAACACAAATCCCCTGACATCCTGGCTGGTGGCTAGCCCTCAGAGACAGGTTATGGGCCTTGGTCCCTGGAGCCTGCCCTGTCCATCTTCTCAGTCACCCTGGTCTGCAGGTGATGTCCAGGGGAAAAGAGCTGAGTCATGGCGCCCCGTCCCGGGGCCGTGGAAGATTTCATGGGAGTGCATTTGTCCGGTGGATTCCATCCCAAGCCTGTTCAAGGGCAGTGGGTAACAAGACAAGGCCTGTTTTGACTGTGCGACCCAGAGTGTGCAGCAATACTCCGTAGGGGCAATGAGACCTCTATAGCTCTTCCTGTCTGTCAGCTGCCACAGCCTTGCAGGGTGGTCATAGCTGAGGTGTTACAGATAGGGACTGTGGGGGCTCCTGGGCAGCCTAGATACAACTAGCAAGGAAGCCAGGGATGGAGCAATGACTCAGGGAGTGGCTGATCCTTATTCTTGGCACATGGAGGCCAAAGGGGGATGGAAAGCAGCGTCCAAGGTCCCTGGGCTGGGCATGCACCTACTCCTGGCTTGAGATCTCCTTGTTGGCCCGGTCAGGGACATGCAGGAACTTGGGTGCGGGTATCAAGTGGCCAGGTGTGCACTGTTGGGCTGCGTGGCTTGAACCAGCTCTGGCGCGGTCCGGGCCCTGCCTTTCCAGGCTGCTCAGGGGGGTTCTTGGGCCCGAGGTGCTGACATTCCTGGATAGGCGGTGGAACCAGTCTGGACGCGAGGCCCCAGGCTGTGTTCCAGGAAGGCACCCTTGGCATCTGCTTGAGGGCTGTGGTGAGGGCTCTCAGGTCCTGGTTCTGGTCTGGTGCTGGCGGCACCTCTGCTGCGTTGCCTCAGGAACCATCTCTGGGACATTGTGTTTGGCCCTGGAGTTCAGACACTTTGACAGGGGTGGGGTGTACCCAGCCTGGGGCTTGCTGGAGGGGTGTTCGCCAGGAGACCCTGCCCTTTGGAGAGAACTGTGTCCAAGAGAGGGGGACTCCTTGCCCCTGGCACCACACCTCTCTTTCCCTGTTGGGGTCACACCCCTCACCTGCTGCCACTGCCTTGGGGACCCCAGAAGTCATGCTGTCATAACACCTCCCATCTCCTACCCAGGGCCCTCCCAGAGTTGTGTGAACTTTAGTCATCTGCTGACAGGCCAAGTCACTGTGTCTCCTTGCTTCCTCAACGTCAGCCCCTGGGGCTGTCCTCCCTGTCAGACTGGACCTTTTAGAGGACAGCCTGCTCTCCACCCTGCTTAGACACTTTCAACGGTCCCATGGGGTTGCTGAGTGACTCCCAGCCAGCTTCTTGCCTGCTCTGGGACTAGGTGAGCATGAGAGTTCTGCCTTCTCCTGCCCCTTTCTTGTCTCTGCTCCTCCTTGGAGGTGCCCTCCCCCAGATCCCAATCCCAGTTCAGAGGCACCCTGAGGAGCTCTGCAGGGGCTGCAGGCGTGGCTCTGGGCCACTCCTAGGAATGGGGGTCTGTGGCCCAGATTTTCCCAGGCAGACAAATCTGGCCGTGTCCCAGCCTAGAGCTTCTTCCTGGTGACCAGAGCTTTCCTGGCCCCGCCAGCCTCCCGGGGCCCCGTGCGTGTGTCTGTCAAGGTCAAAGGAGGAGGTGGTGGGGAGCCGGAGGCCATGCCAGCCCCACCACTCTCTTCACCTCAGCTTCCTTCCCATTCACTGATTTGGGTGAGAGCTAACTTGGGCTGGAGTATCTTTTGAAAGGGGGGGGAAAATGTGGGGTGTGTGTGCCATGGGGTTAAACCAGCTTTCCAGTCCCCAGCAGGTGCCTCTCTCTGCAGGGCTGGTGAGCTGCCTGCTTGCAGTCTGGGCTGGTGTCTTCGCTGCCCTGGCCAGGGAGGAGGGACAAATAGCACTGCCTCACTCCCCTCTCCCCACTCCTCTGCAGCTCTAACCTTGCTGGTGCCCCTGTCCTCTGGAAGCCCACCTTGGGTCCTGGGTGATGGATGGACGGAACGAACAGACGGAGGACAGGGGAGGCTGAGCACAGACTTTAGGAAGTCAAGGGTCACAGGGGCCTGAGGGGAGAAAGGAGGGCCGTGAGGGGGGTGGTCTCACCTCACAGCCACAAGCCTCCTCCAGGTGCCTGGACCAATGTCCCCAAGGTGTCCAGTGGCAAGGCTGGGGCCTCCCCAAGGTGCCTGTGCCCATGCTGGGAAGAGAGTCACTGGTTTCAACCTGCTTCCCACCACATGGGGTGGGAGTCTCTGTGTCTGGAAACAGATCCCACATGTTCCTGGCCCAGCTCCCAAGGCCCCCCCCCCCCCCACACCCTCCAAAGCAGCAGCTACCCCCTGCTGGGAATCCCCAGCAACCTGACCCAGCTCTCCTGGTGTGTTTTGTGGGGGGGGGGTGAAGCGCAATTGGTCCCCCTCGGGAGTGGGTGGCGGTGGGGGAAAGTCCTCGGTTGGTACTTCGGAGGGTTGCTTTTTGAGGACTTGAGAGCAGGATACTGACAGGAAGGAGTGCAGGGAGGAGGCTCTATAGTCCAGCTTTCAAAGGGTGGTGCCTGGATTCAGTCAACATGGAGAAGAAAGGCTGGCTTGAATCCCACTGGGGACGTAGGGTGGTGGTCTGCTATGTGGCTGCCCACTGAGCCTGGGAGGGGAAAGCCCTTCCATGCTGGCTTCTGGAGGCCCCCCATGTGGGAAGGCTATCCCCTCCCAGGCTCCGTGCAAGTGAGACTACACTCCTAGACCATCTCTGGGACACTGTGTCTGGCCCTGGAGCTCAGACCCCTGAACAGAGACGAGGTGAACCAGAGGCATCCCAGCCTGGGGCTTATTGGCCGACACTCACCTTTCGGAGGTAACGGAGATTGCCACTGTCCTCACACCTCTCCTTCCTTGTGGGGGTCACACCCCTTGTCCGCTGTCACCGCCACAGGAGCCCAAAGGCTCACTGCTGTCCCTCCCTGCATGGCCTGGAAAGGAGTCAACAGGGAAACAGTGAGCAGGTGGCTGACCAGCTTCCTTCTGCACCGCCGGCCTCCAGGGCGTCACCCTACTAGCTGATGGCATTTATAGCCAACACTCACCTAGCACTTCACGCTTTCCAATCCACTTCATTTCTACAACATCCCCAAGCAGGATGCCTCTGTCATTCCCACTGGACAGGTAGTCAGTGACTTGCCCAAGGCCCCACATCAGACGAGGGACAAGACTCAGATGGGATGAGCTGGCTTGAGAGCCTGCATACCCCGTCTCCTTGGCCTGGCCCACGTGGGCTTCACCACTTTGTCATATGATACTCACACCACCGAACTCGGGCCTTGCTCTGGGCAAACCCCCTCTCGGCTGTGCCTGGAGATTTCACACAAATGTGTCGGACAGCCTCCTCTTCGACTCCAGAGTTCATCTGGGTCAGAGGAACCTCACAGAGCTCCCTGGGGAGGACCTCCCTGGGGAGGCCTGTTTCAGGTACACTATCTTGATTTTCAGGAGAGCAAAGAGGCTGCCTGATCGAGGTGTCTGTCTGGAGCAGATTCTGCGGACACCATCTCCTACTGTCTGTGAGGGAGACCCCAGTTATTTCCTTAGCTGTTTCAGCCAAGCCCTCCTGGCTTTTGTGGCCACCTCCCCAGGCAAGGTGTGGGGCTTCCATCCGCTGAGAAAGGTAGGCCCCTGCCCCATGGCAGCTTGTCTGACAATTTTACAAGGAGATTGTGGGTGTCCTTTTTGAGGGTACAATGGAAGCCGAACCCCACGGTCTGTGGCAGGCCACTCTGGGGGCCCATGGATGGTGTCTGGCTCTGGGCTGAGGTGGGGGGTCACAGAAGGGATCAGGCCAAGCTTGTTCCCGGTGGAGTTCCCTGCTTGGCAGTGGCTCTGAATGTGGGACACATGGAATCTGGGGGCTCCCAGGAGAGATTTCTTTTGGACATGGGGTCTTTACTGGGATGGGGCCTTGAGGATAAGCAGGGCAATTTAGGAAGGGAGAGATGGGGCTGGGAGTTTCTGGCAGAGTAAGTGGCCAGGGGCTGGAAGGAAACAAAGGGACATATTTTTTTCTTTTAAAATTTTTTTTTAATGTTTATTTATTTTTGAGAAAGAGAAACACACACACAGAGTATGAGCGGGGGAGGGGCAGAGAGAGAGGGAGACACAGAATCTGAAGCAGGCTCCAGGCTCTGAGCTGTCAGCACAGAGCCCCATGCGGGGCTAGAACTCATGAATGGTGAGATCATGACCCGAGCTGAAGTTGGAAGCCTAACCTGACTGAGCCACCCAGGTGCCCCCAGGGACATGTTTCTGAGGCTTGACTATTGGCTGTGCCCTGTGTGGTGAGGGTCAGGATGTGCCCAAGGCCAGGCCAGTGGCAGTCCCCTGATCCTGTTAACCACCAGCCCTCCCCCCTGACCCCAAACAACAGGTACTTGCAGAGCCATGAAGAAGCGGTATGTGGTGCTGGCCCTGCTGGCCGTGGTCCTAGTGATCTTCATCATCATCCTGTGCCTTTGCCTGCTCTTGACCTCCAAGCCACAGAGCCACGTCTACCCCAGGGCAGCTGTGGCCACAGATGCCAAGTATTGCTCAGAGATCGGGAGGTGAGCAGGCAGGGCGTGGGAATACAGGAGGACCACTGGAAGTGGATCTGGGCAAGATCCTCATCCCTCTGAGACTCAGTTTCCCTGTCTGTACATGAGCTACCCGGACAAGGGGTGTCTGATGCACATGGAGCTGCCTGTCCTTTCCTTGGACCTCCACAGCAGCCTCTGGTCAGGGCAGAAGGGGACACTGACTCCAAGAGCAGGATGTGGATTTCCTGGTGCCCTGGGTCCCTTTCCTCAGATCTCTGTGCCTTTGGATAAACTGCTGTTTTATGCTATTTTAGACCCCTATCTCACATTATGTACAAAGATCAGTTCCCAAAAGACGTAAACAGACAAAAAAGGTTGCTAATAAAAAGTAACGTTTTTCCGCTTTCTTTCTATTATAAACGTCATGCACATCTGTTTGCTTGAAAGGAAGAACATATAAGCCCATTGGTCTTAGAGTGACATGTAAAAACCAAAACTACAGTTTCCTCTTCCATCCTCCTTTGGGCAGTGTGGCCAGAAAGGGTGGAGTTGGGTGGCAGTGTGCATGTGTTGGGGGGGTTGGGGAGCCCGCAGGTGCTCACTCCCCACCACCTGCTGCCGGTAGGGACATGCTGAGGGACGGTGGCTCGGCGGTGGATGCTGCCATTGCGGCCCTGCTGTGTGTGGGGCTCATGAACGCCCACAGCATGGGCATCGGGGGCGGCCTGTTCCTCACCATCTACAACAGCACCACGCGTGAGTGCCCACGGGGAGTAGGGGAAGTAATTGGCAGGGGCTGTCCATCTCAGGCTGGACGTGGGCTGGGGGCAAGCAGAGCCGGGTGGCCCCTGGGCTCACACGGGGTGAGGGGTTGGTGTTGGTCCAGACTGCCCACCTTCTTCTCCTTCTAGGAAAAGTTGAGATCATCAACGCCCGTGAGGTGGCCCCTGGGCTGGCCTCCGAAGGCATGTTCAACAGCCCGGAGCAGTCACAGAAAGGTGAGGTGCAAGTTCAGGTGTGGGTGCAGAGCTGGGGTGAGATGCCGGGAAGGCATGGGCATGCCCCTGTCTGATGCTGGGGACAGTTCTGGCAGTGCTGATGTGCACCCTTCCCATCCAACCCTTCCTGGCCCGACAACACCCTCCCGAGGGTGAAGACATGGAGCTTCTGTTATTTCCACTCAGGCCTCTCCAGGGTGCTAGGGCATGGAGAGAATAATTATTATTTCAACAGTTTGCACATATCAGGGGGCACTGGGGCCAGCATGCTGCTTAGCTGTTTTCACCAGTGGGCCCCTTGAATCCTCCCTGTATGCTTGGGAGTCAGGGGAAGTGCTGTGTTGATTCTTATTTTATAGGTCCAGAGAGGTCATGCAAACCAACTGAGGTCACACAGCTGGATGGTGCTGAGGCCCAAATTGAACCTGGGCTGTCAAAGTCCTGAATTTTCCAAAGGCATCCAAGACTTTCATTTATTCGTTCATTTTGTGGAGATAGCTCCAAAAACGCAGTCGAGTCTATCTTTTTAACAAGGCCTTCATGCAGAGAAGAGGCCCCCAACCTCCCCATGCAGTTGAGGGGAAGCCAGTGGCCAGCAGGGGTTGCTGCTCCAAGGACCCAAAAGGAGGATAGGAGGAAAACAGGATAGGAGATTAGAGGCAGGAGGAGGGGGCTGTTGGCCATAGCAGGTCTGATCCCCAGTTGCAGGCTCTGCCCCTCGGGCCGGGGCCCTGGGTGAGGCCCTGTGAGCAGCCCCATTGGAGTCTCCTCCAACATACAGCCTCTTTGAATTAAAAAAAAAATTTTTTTTTCAACGTTTATGTATTTTTGGGATAGAGAGAGACAGAGCATGAACAGGGGAGGGGCAGAGAGAGAGGGAGACACAGAATTGGAAACAGGCTCTAGGCTCTGAGCCATCAGCCCAGAGCCTGACGCGGGGCTCAAACTCACGGACCGTGAGATCGTGACCTGGCTGAAGTCGGACGCTTAACTGACTGCGCCACCCAGGCGCCCCCTCTTTGAATTTTTATATCCCCTGGGAGACTCAGAATGTGTAGAAATGAAATCATTCAGTGTGATTGCTGGAATCTTACAGACTTAGCACCTTGTGGATGCTCGGAATTCACTTATTTAACGAGGACTTACTGGGAATCTCTTAAAATGTCAGGGGTTGTTCCCCAAGCCTGGGGACAAAACAAAGGCAACAGATAAAATCCGTGGCCCAGCCAAGCCAGGTGGTACCAGAACAGCAGAGGTGGGAAGGGCTGGAAGGCGTGCAGTTCACCAAGTGTAGCCTGGTCACGGGGGAGGTGTCTGGGCAAAGACCCAGGGTCTGGAGTGGGTGAGGATAGCTGTGCAGGTGTCTGGGGGAAGAGCAAGTGACCCACATGGGAAGATGGGACAGAGAACTGTGGGAACTAGCAAGGCTGCAATGGGTGACCCCAGGGTCAGAATGGCTCAGGTGGTGTCAGACCTTATGGGTCATTGTGAAGACCCTGTCTCTTGTCCAAGAGAGGTAGCAGTGGCCCCTGGGGTGTTTGTGGGGGTAGATCTGGCCTATGTCTGGCTGAACCCCTTGGGCAGCTGCAGAAGGGGCAGGGAGCAAGCTGCCTGCCCATCAGGTGACCCGTCAGGAGGTCACCACGATGACCACGGAGAGATGAGGGTGTTGGGAGGTGGTTGGTATTCAACATACCTAGAAGGTGGAGCCTGTGCATTTGCTGAGAGGTCGGGTGTGACACCAACTCCTATACCAAGAGTCCTGGATAACCCCTGGTCTTTGATCTGCACCTGGAAGCATGGGGTGCCCCTAACAGAGGCCAGCAAGGCTGTGGGGCAGTGGGTTTGGGTGACAGTCCGGAGTTGGGTTTTGAGTGTGTTAAGTTTGAGATGCCTTTCTCATGGGCAGGTGCATCCTCAGATCAGGCCATCGGGGGAGCAGGCCAGGCCAGAGAGTAAATTTAGAACTGGCAGCACATACATGAAATTTGAAGCCCTGATCTGGGGGAGGTCACCAATATGGTGAGTGTAGACAGAGGAGACCATAACAGAGCCTCGCATGTGGGATGCAGAGGTGACACTGGAGGAGTGACGGGCTAAGTAAGGTAAAGTTGAGAGAGGACCCTGGTCTGGCAGTGTGGGGGTCACTGCACCTTGGTTAGCAGGGTGGTCTGAGACCTATTAGCCCAAGATCAGGGCAGCATTTTTTTTTAAGGTGGCAGGAATCATGGGCCGGGTGTCAGACCTTCTGAAATGTGCAGACATACAGACCATAACAACCTGGCTCTCAGAACCTTGTGCCCAACCTCAGGATGGGAGAGGTAGTTCCAGAGCTGCAGTCACCTAGCCTGAGTGTAGCTGAAATGGCCCTGGTCATCCAGGGGTGAAAGCAAGAAGGTGTCTGGGAGCAAGGGCCTTTCTGTATCAGTGCCCAGCTTAGGGCATAGTGGGCCGTGGGGGTGGGTGGGGAGCAGGGTCCAGGAGTCTGTTTCCAGTGGAATTGTGGGCTCCTCTAAAGTCAGCTGCAAGAGACAAAACTCTTTATGGTCAGATGGGGAAACTGAAACCCAGTGAGGGTACATATAGGGCAGGGAGTCGGGCTCAGGTCCTGGGTCTGGGACAGTAGAAGGGAGGAAGGTAGAGGCCTTGCCTTGGCACTGGCTCAGTGTCGAGGGTGGCCTGGGCTTGCCCTGGGGACTTTGGTGGGTTCCGGTGGACCCCTTGAGTCTTATGGGATGAGAGGCCTTGTGGGCTAGGAGGCTCAGACTAAGAGATGGTAGGGGTCTGGCTTCCCCACAGTCTTGTTGTGCAACTGTGGGCCTGGCACAGGATTTCAAACCTGGTAGCACCTGCAGAGGCAGACATCTAGTCCTGGGACAGCAGGACTGTGGCCTTGTCACATATCCCTGGCCAATCTACACTCTTGCCAGCGGAGTCCACATATGACAATTCCATTTCCTTCCTAAACCTCACTGATCCCATCTGGAGACTGTGCCTAGGTTGCTGCTGAGGGAGAACACCCCTCCTGATGTCCCCTGACTGGAGCCACTAACTGTCTTCCTGTCCCTCTGCAGGGGGGCTGTCGGTGGCAGTTCCCGGTGAGATCCGAGGCTATGAGTTGGCCCACCAGCGGCATGGGCGGCTGCCCTGGGCTCACCTCTTTCAGCCCAGCATCCAGCTGGCCCGCCAGGGCTTCCCTGTGGGGAAGGGCTTGGCGGCAGCCCTGGAGAAAGACAGGGCTGTCATCGAGGAACAGCCTGCACTGTGGTATGTCTGTGGGTGCTGGCCTGCCCTGGGGCACAGGCTGGGCAGATGTGGCCCAAGGTCCCTGCATGCCATGAATGACTGGCAGAGGGATGAGGTCTAGGATATAAAAGCCTTTCCCAATGTGTGTGGGATCACATTCTGAGCCTGGTGCCTGGGGTCCCGGCTTGTGAGTCCTGAGTGGCAAGGGACTCTAGGAAGCATTGGCTGGACACCAGAGGATGACTCACCTGTGGACAGGTGCTCACTGCCCTTCCTTTGATCTCCTGTGTGGTTGGGTGGGAATGGCTGGCCGAATCCACCCTGCCTGCCTGCCTCACGGGAGCCCCTCTGCCCCAGTGAGGTGTTCTGCCGGGATGGGAAGGTGCTGCGGGAGGGGGACAGACTGACCATGCCGCAGCTGGCCAACACGTACGAGACGCTGGCCTTGGAGGGAGCCCAGGCCTTCTACAACGGGAGCCTCACAGCCCAGATTGTCAAGGACATCCAGGAGGCTGGTAAGTGGGCAACCTCAGGGACCCTAGGCAAGGAACTCAGCAGCAGGAGCTCTGAGCCAGAGCTCAGAGGACTTAGGTCCTCTGCTCCTGCCCGACCTGGGCATTGGGCCCTCAGGCAGTGCCTGGAGCTGGGGGGGGTCACAGACATGTCTGCAGTCAGTGACAGGCCACATAGATCCATAGATCTTGGTTAGGTCAAAACTGAGAGACCAGTGCAGTTCAGGAGGGAAAGTCCTCTGTAAGTTAAATGAAGGCCTAGGCTGGAACTGGAGCTGAGGAAGCATTGAAATGCAGATCTGAGGGGACTTCCCCAAGCAGGAGGTGGTACCTGAGCTACAGATGGGCTTGGAGAGAGGAAGAGCCTTCCTGGCAGAGGGAATAGGCTAAGGCCCAGAGAGGATGAGCTTTAGTTATCCCTGAGGGTCACAGTGGATGAGGGTGGGCTTGGTGAGAGAGGCACTGGAGGGGCTGCAAGCAGAGACAAGTTCTCATGACTCAGCCAAGAAGCCTGGTGCTGCCTCTCCCTCCCCAGCTGTGGATTTCTTCCTGCTGTTATTTTTGTCAGAGACACAGAAGAGAGTGATTAGCATGTTGACCTTTACCACTGAGGCAGGAAATTAGCCTATAAATACTTGGTCTTTCTGGAGCCAGTTCCCTGTAGAATTAAAGAGCCTCCTTTCACCCACCTATTAGTAGTCACTGGAGGATGGGACTGAGCAGGGGAGAGATGGGAGCAGATACTTTCCACTTAGAGAAGACTCTCTGGCCGCCAAGAGGAGAGAAGGCAGACCTGGAGGCCAGTGGGGCAAACAGATAGAGGGCAGATGGCCTGAGCCTGGCAGTGGAGAGGTGGTATCATCAGGGAGCACAGAGGGACTGGCGGATGGGGCAGTGGGGAGGGGGAGGAGGAGGGCCCTCAAGAGTGGGCAGGGCTTTCAGCGTGATGGTCCTGTGCTCCCCTCAGATTGGGGGCCCCATCCCTGTGTCCACCCATTGAGCTGCTGTCTCATTGCAGGGGGCATTATGACCACCGAGGACCTGAACAACTACCGTGCTGAGCTGATAGAGCAGCCACTGAACATCAGCCTCGGGGACGCCCAGCTCTACGTGCCCAGTGCCCCACTCAGTGGGCCGGTGCTGGCTCTCATCCTCAACATCCTCAAGGGTGAGCCCTCCCACCGTGGCTCCGCAAGAGGCGGTGCAGAGTGACCAGGGCTGTGAGAGGCGATGATCAGGGGCTGGAGGAGGAGGAGGAATGGTTGGGAGCTAAAAAGGTACAGAGCAGTGTCCTGGGGTGGGAATAGCCATGCTGGTCCAGAGGACGCATCTGGTAAATCTAAGTGGTCATCCCAGGCCCAGGGGTCCCTTACTCATTCCATTCTTACATTCCTCCAAAGTGTCCACTGGTTTTTATTACGCATTCCCCTTCTCAAGTTGGGCCAAGTGATTCAGGGAGGTGTGAGCCTACCCTGGGGCACCCAGCTGTCTCGGCAGAGGGCCCCGGGACTGCTAACATGCCCCCATCTCTGCTCAACCAGGGTACAACTTCTCCCCAGCGAGTGTGGAGACACCCGAACAGAAGGGTCTCACCTACCACCGCATCGTGGAGGCCTTCCGGTTTGCCTATGCCAAGAGGACCCTGCTTGGGGACCCCAAGTTTGTCAATATGATGGAGGTAAGAGGCAGGGGGTGGCCCGTGATGGGTGCGGGAGGGCCTGCCATGGATGTGCGAGCAGGGCTTCCTGGGACCACCCCAGCCTCACGCATGCTTTCACCACCAACTTTGGTGGTGGACCTACCATGTGCTGGGATGGCCTGGTGACGCCCGAGTTTGGCCCTCTGCCACACGGAGCTCACAGTATGACAGACTTGACAATGAGTAATTAGTGTCCCCTACCTGTGTCTGTGCTCCCACCTTGGGGGCTGTACCCTTGTCCTGGAAGGGTTTGGAGTGTTCGGTGCTGAGGTGGGGAATGCATGGGGACGTTGCAACCCTCAAGGGTAATGAGGAGGATGGCTGAGGGGGAGAGGAGCAATGCTCTGGGCCTCGGCCACTGGTTCTGTGGTCACACCCAGGAGCTAATGTGTCCTAGGCCCTACCCGGATCCTGCACAGCCCAACCCACTCACTGCCAGACCCAGGCTGGGCCTCCATCAAGACTCCCATCACCGCCCTCCTTACCTACTCGGATCACCCATTCCGCGGTAGACCTGCAGATTCCCTCACACTGGCCTGTGCCTCTCAGCTGCCCAGCAGCCTCTCTGCTTTCCCGGATCTCTTTTTTTTCCCCAATGAGCATTTTGTACTACTCCCGACTGCAGCCGGTGACCCGGTGTCTCATATCCCTGCGGCTGCTGCATCGCACCCCTATCTGCCATTTGGCCTGGCTAAGGCCAGCTCCTCTGCTCATGCACTTGCTGACTTGGCAAGTCTCTCCTGCAACACTGCTCTGCCTCTGGCGTTCCCAGTCTGTCCTTTCAGACAGATCATTCTGGAGCGAGAATCATACTCTTGTTGCTTCAGAACCTTCAGCTGCTGACCCCATTCCTTGGCTTCTGCTCAGAGCAAACTTGGCCACTCTGTCCCTTTCTCAAGTCCTCTCCCATCAGGCTGTGCCCTTCTTGCTCCACCACCCCCCCCCACCATGACCCCTCACCCTGCCCCCTGAGTCCAGCCTCAGTTTCCCCTTTGGGCACCCTACTGCAGCATCTCACACAGTTTACCACCTCCTTTGCTCAGCTTTTCATTTTGCAAAGTTGTAGGCTTTTGCCACATTTCCTTCCTCTCTCTCTGCCTCCATCTACCCCTTTATCAATATGCATGTGTTTTTTGGGGTATCAGATGGTCAGTCACTGATATCACACTTTGGGTTGTCGCTCCTAAAACTGAGGACTCCTATTCCCTGACATTGAGAGGACTTGACCTGTTAGATACCTGTATTCCCAACAGTTCCAGGATTGTTAGGTCCAGAGCCCGTCCAACTCATACCTTACAGTTGCTGTTTATGTCCCTCTGGTTTCTGAACCTACACTAGGCCTCTTGGCTCTTTTGCTGATTTTTAAAGCCCAAGGCAGTCATCTTGCAGAATCACTCCACATCCTGGATTTGACTTTGTGTTTTCTTAGGAGTAGATTCAGGCTGAACATTTTCCCTGTGGGATGTTGCTGGAAAATTCTGGAGGCATTTCCTTTGCTTAGTCCCCATGGGCCTTCCTTGTTGGCTCCTGTCTCATCTACTCTCCTCTTTCTCTGTCCTCATCACTGTGGGGACCCTATTCAGGGTCATGGCTTTTTTTTTTAAGTTTTTGTTTGTTTGTTTGTTTTGTTTTTGTTTTTGTTTTTTTGCTTGTGTTTTTTTTTAGAGCACACAAGCTGGGGAGAGGGACAGAGAGAGAGAGAGAGAGAGAGAGAGGGAGAATCTTAAGCAAACTCCATGCTCAGCACAGAACCCGATGCAGGGCTCAATCCCATGACCCTGGAATCATGACCTGAGCCACAAATGAAGAGTCAGATGCTCAACCAACTGAGCCACCCAGGTGCCCCCAGACTCATGGCTTTAAGCAGCCACCAGAAGCTAATGGCTCCATGTTTATCCCTCAGCCTGATCTTGCCCACATGTAGGTCTACCACCCACCTGAGACAGGCTCTTCAGGGTCCCAAGGGCA